CAGCCCCTCCTCAGGGAAGTCGGTGCTTGGTTGGGGACAGGAGTGGTCTTGTACAACAAGACAAAACCAGTCCTCATTCAGGGCTGTTTGCTCTAGTGGTATGACTGGCTTGGGGGAGGCGGGAATGACAAGATTTTAAATTTTAATTGATTTATTTTGTTTTGTTTTCAGATAGGATCTCACCTAACCCATGTTGACCTCAAACTTGAAGTGTAGCTGAAGCTGACCTTGAACTCCCGGTTCCTCTGCCTCCACCTCTGGGGTGCTGACGTGCAGACGTAGCAGGCACTGCCACACCAGACAGCAATACCGGCTGTCATTATTTATTCAGACTTCTAGGACCAGCGACTTCTGGAGCTCAGTCCTCAGTGTGGAGGAGGCAGGGTGGGTGAGAAGAGGAAGTTATGAAGGTTAAGCTGAAAGCTTAGGCTCCGGTTACTAGATCCCCCCAAGAACCTAGAATGAATGTGTTTAAGTGTTTAATGAAATTTCCTGAGTCTGTAACATTGACAAGTATTTAACAAACTTAACTGTTTGGGGACAGCACTAGCAGGCTGCCAACGTGCTACTTCAGCTAGCCTTCACAGCATTGCCCTTCACATAGGTTATCTTGACTGACTGACTTGGTTTTGCCTCTTCCCTCTCCTTGTGTGTCCTCCTGAGACGTGGCCTCTATCCACTTCTTAAAGTCTGGCCTGCTCCTTTCCCTGCTCAATTCTCAAGAGCTTAGTAGTGGGGTCCCCGTCCACAAACTCCTGTGATTTTTGTTATGGTTGGAACTCCGCAGACCAACACACACACACATACACAAACACACACATGCATACACACACATACAGACATACACACACACACATTCAAATGCACCTGCTCACCTTTCCAATTATTTTTATTATGATAAAATTCAAAGGGCATAAAACTTTGTTCTTTGAGGCAGGGTCTTATGTGCAGCCCAGGACGCCCTCAAATTCACAGTCTTTCTGCTTTTACCTCCCGAGTGCTGGGATTTAGGGATGCACCTTCCTGCCTGGCTTTAATTTTCCCTAGGGGTCTAGTTCAGGGGTATTAAGTGGAATCATACCGTTCTGCAATTATATTGTCCATTCCTAGAATTCTTTCCACCTTACAAAACTGAAATAGTATACCCATCAAATCTCTCCCCACCTTCCCGACAACCACACCTGTGCTCTGCAGCTCTGTGATTTCAAATACTCTAAGATGCCACATACGATTGGAGTCACACAATATGCCTATAAAAAAATACTGTTTTTTCCCCCACTTAACCTAATCTCAAAGTTCATCTGTGTTGTAACACATGACAGTTGCCATTTGTCCTATTTTGCTCTCTGTTGCTGTGATCTAACACAGGACCAACTTATACACCCAGTCACAGTCCGTCACTGAGGGCAGGAACGCAAGCAGGAACAGAGGCAGGAACCATGGAGGAAGTCACTGGCTGGCTCGCTCCACTACTTTCCCTACATGCCCCAGGCACCTGCCCAGGGATGGCACTGCCCACAGTGGGTTAAGCCTTCCTCCCCCATCAATCATTAAACAAGAAAATGCCCCCACAGACATGTCTAGGGACCATGCTGATGGAGACAGGAGACAACCTCAAACGAGGTTCCCTGTTTCTGGGGGACTCTGATTTGTGATAGCTAACAAAAACAAAACAGCACATTATTTAATATTTATTATTTATTTATGGGGGAGCTGGGGACTGACTCTAGGGTCTTTAACCCGCTAGGCAAGTGCTTCCCACCGGCCTACATCTGTTCTCAGTCCCTTTTTACCTTTTGCTTTGAGATGGGGTCTCACCTAGCTATTCAGGCAGATTTGGACTCCCTCTGTAGCCCAAACTGTTTCTTCTTCCTTCCTTTTTAAATTTTATTTTATTAATTCTTTTTTTTTAATGGTCAGGCTTTCTCTGTTACATAGCCCAGGCTGTCCTGGAACTCACTCTGTAAAGCAGGCTGGTCTCAAACTCACAGAGATCAACCTGTCTCTGCCTCCCTAGCACTGAATTCAAAGGTGTGCGCCACCACATCCTGCCGCAGATGGTGCTTCAGAATGAGAACGCTGCCTTAAGAAAAGCCAAAACAGGGCCAGAGAAATAGCTCAGTCTATAAAGTGCTTGCCATACAGGCTGAAGGAACTGAACTTGACCCCCAGGACCCGTGTAAGAACAACAGGCATAGAGGTGCATAGCTTATATGCCTAGCACTGGGGAGACAAGTGGAATCCTAGGGCTCACTGACCTGCCAGCATCGCCTCATTGGTGAGCTCCTGACCAGAGAGAGAGTCAGTTTCAAATGAGTGCACAGCGCCTGAAGAGTGAAATCCAAGGCTGTTCTCTGGCCCTCTACAGACACACGTTTGTGCACAAGCACAATGAGAATTAAAACCAAACCAAGCTAAACCCAAACATCTCTTTAGGATCTTTTCTCTTCTACTTAATGCCTATTCTTGACTGAATTTCCCTTTTTGGAGACAGACTTTTGTTATTTTGTCCAGGCTCATCTTTATTTATTTATTTAAAAATATTTTTATTTTTCTTTCTTTCTTTTCTTTTTTCTCTTTTGAGGGGGATTTTCTGTGTAGTTCTGGCTGTCCTGAAATGCCTCCAATCTTTGGACATATACACTTACTCTTAATTAAAAAATAAATCTCAGCATTATCTTCTTATTAATTATTGTATGTGTGATATGAGCGTGGGCATGAGAGCTGCCTTATTACTGTGTGTGTGGTGTGCGCGCGGGCATGAGAGTGTCAGGGAGTCTGTGGCGATCAGAGGATTGCCTGCAGGAAATGATTCTCTTCCTCCACTTTTTTTTTTTTAATTAAATGTATGTCGCCCTGGTTAGACTGGAACACACACGTAGACCACCTGTCTGGAAGGTATGCCACCATGCCTGGCTCTTCTCCCACTTTGGGGTCTCGGGATCAAACACAGTCACAGTCTCGTGGGAATGTCACTTTTGCCCGCCGAACCATCTCACCTTCTTCTTCTTTTTTCCCCAGGCTGGGAATCAAATCAAGGGCTCCGCATGCTGGGCAAGCATGCCACACGCCACACCGGAGCTGTCTCAGTCAATCTCTGTCTTTTGAGCCTTCACAACTGGATACTTAGTATACAGAACTGAACCTAGCATGGGGCACTGCCCTGAGGATTTCCAAACATATTAGAGCAAACATAGGACAGGCATGGTTCACCTGCATGTACAACAGGTGAGGGCTTGAGTGAGGGCTGCAGTGAGCTTAGCTGGATAGTTTATGGAAGATTTTTGAACTAAACGCTGCATGGGTTTATAAGGTGCTTTTTGGAGGGAGAGCAGCACCTGAGGCACGGACAATAACTGCTTACGGGCAACTGCCCGTGCCAAGCGCAGAGTCAGGAAGACATGACAAAGCACTATTTAGGGGAGGATGAAACCGAGAGCAGAGTTCCCGAGATAAGGAGCAGGTTTGAGGAGCAAATGGTAAGCACGCCCCCTAGCGGCCCCTGTGAGATTACACCTAGCTGCGGCAGCCTGTGTAATAGTGAAGGTGTTTTGCCTACCATCCTCACCACCCACACCGTGACAGACCAACACTTGCTAGGCACTCACTGTGTTGATCAGTCTCCTAGCAATTGGGGTAGCCTTTGGGTCATTAATTATCAGCCCTGTAATTGCTTTACAAAGAATCAAAGAGGGAACATGTCTATCTTGAACCTCAAAGGCTGGCAGAATAGGGGGTTAGGTGGGGAAACTCTGTGCCAACGAAACAAGGAGTGAACCCCACCCCTGCCATGTACTCAACCTTCCCTGAGTGACTACCATTAGCTGAGGTCACAGAGGGAACATGACATGCTGGAGACGGGGGATGACTCAGACGCCACCTGTGACCCTGGGAGCTCACCACCTAGCGAGGAGACAGACAGATAAACAAAGGGATGCCGTGTGCTTGGGGTCCTGTTGGCAAACCCAGGGTGTGGAGCAGGGAGTGCCAGCCACCTGGGCCACTGCTTGAAGGTTCTGTGTTTAGCTGAGCGATGAAAACGGGGAGGTAGTCCAGGACGGCACAGCAGGTACAATGAGAGACGCCAAAGGGTGGGCTCTCCTGGTGGGCAGGGAGGTGGCGCTATATCAGCTGGGGAAACCCTCGCGTCTATGTCTGTGTAGGCTGAGCTTGCTTACTAGTCCCCAACCTCTCCGGGAACATGGGAACTGCGGGACGCCCCTCGCATCTATGTCTGTGTAGGCTGAGCTTTCTAACTAGTCCCCAACCTCTCTGGGAACATAGGAACTTCGGGCATCCCGCCAGGGTTCCGGTCCAGTCCTTACACACCAGCCTCTGGGTAACTCAGGCATTGCTGTCAACCCCCTGGCTTGTGAACGCCCTTAGCACTCACCAGAGGGCTGGGGCCAACCCTGACAATATCAACTGTGTAGGACTGGCAGAGCCTGGCATACAGCTCACTGCAATCTGTTGGACAAAGCTGGATACTGTTTGTGCCCTGGATAGGGGTGAGCTGGAGTGGTGTACCTCATCTAGTGGGTACTAGGCAGGAGCTTGGAGCCTGGGGGAGGGACTGCATTCCTGTGAAGGAGCCAAGGGCTCTCAGGTGAGCAGAGAGGTAACTGATGGTTTGTGTCTGGTAACATGAAGTGATGGCCGGGGTTCAAGGCCCCAACCAGTTGAGCCTCACCCCACCTGAGTAGGGACACCTGAGTGAGGGGCACCACCCTTCTCCCACGGTCCTCCACGCTGGTGGTCAAAGGTGACACGCTCCACCCTGAGGGGCCAGAGTAGTTTCTGGAGAGGTGGGAAAACCTGCGGAACAGGGTGGCCAAAGGCTGAACCGGTTGGACAGGACAGTTCAATCCCCCCCACCCCCCAGCAACCCCACAAAGCCAGGCTGAGGAGACAGCTCATGGGTTTTATATCTCCGCACTGAAAGCAACTAAGGGGTGGGGATGGGGGCAATGGGAGGGAGGAACTCAACAAAAACACAACCCTTTATTTTTTAATTTAATGTCATTTTGTGGTGCCATGGAGAGAACTCAGGGTACATGTTCTACCACTGAACTATGACCCTGGTACCCCCCAGCACGAACTACACAGGGACATCATCCTTCAGTGCTGGACTGTGACGAGCGCAAGGCCAGCCGTGGAAGGCAGATTGCAGCTTCCAGCTTCTGATGTCACTCCAAGTCCTAGCATCATTGGATGGGGATGGGCATCTCTGAACAGGACACAAAAAACACCAACTTCCTCTGGCTCCAGGGCAAACAGGTCCTTCTATGTACAGTACTCCTGGCTCAAGGCTGCTCTGCTCCTCCCAGTCTCTTGGGCCTTCTCCAGAACTGGCCCGAGTGAGTGTAGATGAGCATCCTCTGAGACGCCCAGAGACCTGGCTTCTGAGACAGAGCTAGTGAGCCCAGGAAGCAGGCAGGAAATGTCTGGTCCCCAAGTTTTCCCAGGTTCGAGCCTCTGTCTTGGCAGACTCCCAGGCTCAGAGGGGCCGGGTTGTGTGATTATAGACCAGGTGCTCTGTGTCCTCAGTGGTGGAAACAGTGGAGCTGGCTGGTGTGGGAGGCGGGTGGTGGCGGCGGCGGTGACTGCGGAAGCCCTTTCTCTTACTCTTGAAGAAGAAATATCCCAGGATGGCTACGACCACTATGATGGAGATGACCAGGAGAACAGCAATGGCCACCTCCACAGAACCTGGGAGAGAACGGGCAGAATGAGGCGCATCCTCACTTTATCGGATGGACAAAGACCCTGGATGTCATGTGTAGAAGCAGAACACCCAACGCAGACCTTCTGTTTCCAGAAGCCCAGAGCGGCTCTGACGGAAGACAATTAGCAGGCAATTCGCTGTTTCTCCTTCCTTTACCTATGCCAGACCTCACTACTCAATGGTGCACTCTGGGTAACCTCAGGATCCCTCTCAACACGCTTAGACATTCAAGAGCAGGTGCGTGTGGCAGTTCCTGAACTGGCACACCCATGGATCCAGGCTGGTGACACACGACAGCAAGGCTTACTTACCTACGCTGGGAACGGAGCTTTCCCTCCGCAGACCAAACACATCCTTCTCTGCAAAGGGACATGGAGAAGTGGGTCAGCGCCAAGTCCTCAGACTCAGCTGTTGGAGTGCCACAGCCCTGTGCCACCCTCTCCCACTGCCACTGAAGTCACTTAGTAGGGAAGCGATCCACCCAGCCCAGCTAAATCGTCCCCTTCACCCTGCCACTGCCACTCCGCTCACTGGAGATGCCACGACAGGACTCAAGACACTGCTGCTCCTCCTCAAAGCTGTTCTTGTTGCCATAGCAACCACCATAGGTGAAGCGGGCACAGTGTTCGCTGAATGGGTTGTAATACCAGCGCGGGATGTTCTCTTGGCAGGGCCCAGTGTCTGGCAGTTCTGCACAGAACCCTGCAGGAAAGGAACACGCAAAGGGACAAGTGAGTCCAAGGAGCTACCCATGCCGCCACCTTGCAGGGCCCACGTGACGTGGCCCTCCCCTCCCCCAGGCTGAAGGCAGTGTGGCTTCACCAAAGGCCCATCTGTAGTACATCACAAACAAGGAAGATGACTCTGGACAACAATCCTAGGCACCAAGGGAACTACTACTTGGACCCACATTTTAAAGGCATACTTAGGCACATTATTTATTTATTTTTGTGCATGCGCCGTGGCACACATGTGCATGGGGAGATCAGAGGACAACTCCTGGGGTTGGCTTTCCCCTTCCAATACGCCGAGTCCCAAGGGTCAAACTCAGGTCATCAAGTTTAGTAGCAAGTGCCTTTATCCCAGTGAACCATCCTGTTGGCCCCATGGCTTTGTTTTGCTTTTTATTCCATGCGTGTGGGTGTTTTGTGTGCACGAATGGCTGTGCACCTCACGCATGCAGTGCTCTGGATGCCAGAAGATGCTGGATACCCCGGAACTGGACTTATGGACGGCTGTGAGCCGCCATCAGGGTGCCGGGAATTTAGCAGACGTTGACCTTGAACTTCCGACCCCCCCCCCATAAGCCAAGACGGGATTTCTTCGTTTCCGCCCCTCCCCCAGTGGTGGTGGGACACAAACAGTTCCTTGCCACGCTAGGAACCGACTCCAACCTCAGTCCCCAGGGCCCTCATTTTTAATATTGTTTTCACGTTGTCAAGCCATGGTGGCTTCCCACGTATGACAGTACTATGAAATTTCCCAAACACATACGACTTAGCGATGTGTTCAGCGAGGCTACGGCAATGGAAGTAATCAGAGAGGGAGTGCCTAGCGGTATCGGGAAAGCGAGCCACAGCCACGCGAGACTCAAAGGGAGAGCTAGGGAGGCTCGGGAGAGCTGGGAAGGCTCTGTGTGCCTGCAGCCGACACACACAGCAGACCCCTGGGACACAGAGGAACGGGAGGCGCTCACCTCTGTCACTGCGGAAGTCAATTTTCTGAAGCTCATCAAAGCCACGGGTGTCTGCGGGGGGGGGGGGGGGGGGGGGGTGAAAGGTCAGAGGTTGGGGCCCAACATGGGCATCCCTCGGGCACAAGGGAGAGCTGTTAGGATCACCATTCCGGCACCCCACCCCTGCTGCTCCCCTGCTCACATTTTTCACAGGTGGCCTCGTCAGAGCCATCAGGGCAATCAGGGGTGTCGTCACACTCCAGGAAGCCATCAATGCAGCAACCATTGCTGCAGCGGAATTGGGAGGGGTGGCAGCTGCCCGAGCACACTGGATGGGGGTGAGATGACACTCAGGCACAGAGCGGGTGCCAAAGGGCTCTCATCTACCTGGCCCTCTCTGTCACAAGCCCATTCTTCATCAAGCCCAGCTCCTCCTATATGTAAACTGGGCAGATCCTGACTGGGGTAGTGGGAGTTAGGGGTATGGTCGTCGTAAGGGCTGAGGACCAAGACATAGGGAGGAAACAGAGAAAGAAAAGGAAGTAAAACCCACCTGGATGGTGCCTTTTGGGGGAGATTCCTGGGGGAGAAAACAGAAATAACAGGAGGCGCAGTCAGACACTAACGATGATGGGGACACCCCCAGCCCACTTCCCCACCCTGGGCAGCATCACCTGAGCTCCAAAGCTGCCTCTCAGCGACACACCCACCTTGCACATCCTTGCAGGCTAGCATGCACTCTTCTTCCCGAAGGTAATTGTTCTTGTTGCCCAGGCAACCTCCATATGTGAAACTCTTGCAGATTTGCTCTGTGGGGTCATAGTACCAGCGCGGGAAGGAGCCCCGGCAGCGGCCCACCTTGTAGGAGGCGAGGCAGTAATCTAGATGCAGGAGAGCTCATGAATCAGGGCTGAAGGGTTATGGGGCCGAGGGGCTCTCCAGGAACCTCGTGCCCCCTCCCAGTCACCTTCTGTCTGCTTGGCTGTTAGCACGGTGATGGTGAGGTTGGCGGTGTCCTCTGGCTGGTCTGAGTCAGTTTGTGTCAGTTGGAAGAGGTAGGTTCCTTCCTTTAGCCCCCACAGCTCCACTTCATCCGGACTGTTTCTCTATACACAAGACTGGTCATCAAGCTTGGACAAGCCCAGGTCCTCCCAGCCATATACCTGCCCCACAAGAGCGCAGACTTGGTGTCAAATGCACCCTGATCTTTTCTCTAGCCAACACCAAATGAGCCAGCAGTTGGCCTACCGCCCAGGAAGGCGTCCCAGGAGGCTGTGGGGAGGGCCAGGGATTCAGCCCAGTGTCTCACCTCCACTCTGACATCGCTGTCACCCTGTAGCAGGTGCCAGTTTGTTGTGTCTGGATCTCTCAGCACCAGGGGTTTCTGCAGCTGTACCTTCAAGTCTATGCCCACCCAGGTTCGAGGGATCTGGGACCCTGAGAGAAAAGGAAGAAATTCAACTGTCAGTGGGCAGACTAAGGCTTTCTTGGCAAATAGTGGTGTTGGCTAACCTAGGACTCGGTAGCCTGCACAGGGCACAGGGAGGAGAGTGTGCAACAAAGCCAGTATCTTGCTCTCCATGGAGTCACAGTGTGAGTCGTACATTGTCTGAAGAAAAGAATTGAGTACTATATACCATCTGATCTCATTCAGGAAAAAAGCCCGTGTGTGTACGTATTGGGTGTGGGGGGGGGGGATCAGTCTGTTCTTAGTTTCTACAATAAGCAGGTAACTCTGTTGACTGCTTTAAAAAGTAACAGTTTCTTTAAAAGCCAAATATGAAAAGGTGTGATGACGAAGTCACCAACCATTCCTCTAGGGCTGCAAATACAGCTCCCATTGGTAGATTGCTACCTATGTTTGCCTAGCACTGACAAACACCTGGGTTAGATTTCCTAGTGCTAATCCAACCAGGAGTGGTGGCACATGCCTGTAATCCCAGCACTCAGGAGGTGGAGGCAGGAGGATGAGAAGGTTGTCTAGAATACACAGCAAGTCTGAACCCAGCCTAGGATGCATAAGATCACGTTTTGAAAAACAAACAAACAAACAAACAGGTGCTTGGGAAGTGGAGAGGTCCTGGGGAGATGACTCAGTGGTTAAAAACACTGGCTTTTAACCAGCATGGTGGTTAAAACCACCAAGAACTCCAGTTGCAGGTTTTCTGATGCCCTCCATGGGCGCCAGGCTCAAGCGGCACACCGACATACACTCACTCACACATGACAAGCACAGTAAAAAAGCTCACTCCTCGCCACTCCTCAGTATGGGGAGCCAGTGTGGACAGAGACATCAGCAGAGTGCGAGGGCAAACAGACTGCCTGGGTGCTCCAGGGCGAGGGATCATGGGATAGGGTGTTTCTGCCATCAGCTATAAGGGACTTCCAGGGGCCACACCCTTCCTAGACCTGATAGCTTGGGCTTGTAGTTTCCTTCATCTGAGCGTCAGGGGTCATATCAGAGAGATAAGCACAGAGCTGGATTCCTGTCAAAAATGGGTCCTTGCACCCACAGAAACCTCCAGAAGCCATGAATATGGCCTTATTTGGAAAGGGTCTTTGCATAGGTAATGATGTAAAGGATTTCTGGGAGATTATCCAGGATGACTATCATTGTAAGAAACAGAAGTGGAAAAGTGCTGAGCTCTTGACTAGCGTTGAGAAAGGCCCTGGGATTAGATTAGAGTTAGGGCGCTGCCAAAAACAAACAAACAAACAAACAAACAAACAAAAACAACAGAGGGGGCTGGAGAGATGGCTCAGTGGTTAAGAGCATTGCCTGCTCTTCCAAAGGACCCGAGTTCGATTCCCAGCAACCACATGGTGGCTCACAACCATCTGTAAAGAGGTCTGGCGCCCTCTTCTGGCCTTCAGGCATACACACAGACAGAAAATTGTATACATAATAAATAAATAAATATTAAAAAAAAAAAAGAGGCTGGGAGATGGTGGCGCTCGCCTTTAATCCCAGCACTTGGGAGGAAGAGGAGGCGGATCTTTGTGAGTTTGAAGCCAGCCTGGTCTACAGAGTTCCAGGGCAGTCTCCAAAGCTATACAGAGAAACCCTGTCTTGAAAAACAAACAAACAAATAAAAAAAAACAAAAAACAACCACAACAAAACAAAGCAAAACAAAACAAAAAAAAACGACAATAAAAACAAGAACTGGGGAGAGTACTCTATTACTAAAATGTCTCTTTTCAGGCACGTGGACTTGAATTCAGTCCCCAGAAAGCCAGGTGAAATGGCATGGACTTGCAAGAGATCCGTTCTCAGACAAAGAATAAAAGATAGATGGTCCCGGAGGAATGACACCTGAGGTTATCCCCAGCGTCCACACACACATCCACTACACACTTCACGCACAAGCTAGGCACACACCAAAACCCAAGAAACCGAACCACTGGCCTTGGAGACACACGGATTTTTATTTGTCTCACCACGTATCCCTGACAAGCCTAGAACTCACTACGTAGCCCGGCCTTGAGTTCACAGAAAAAGACTGACTCTATTTCCTGTGTGCTGGGATTAAGGGTGTGTGCCATCACCACACCTGGCTATGCAAAATAAAAAAAAAAAAAAGCCAATCACACGTGATAAATAAGCAATCATGAAGTATTGTGAAGGAGGAGCAGGCAGCAGAGGGCCGGCCACCAGACAAAGGGAAGCTTGCAACACAAGGGAAGACGGGTTTTTTAGTCGCTGTTTTGTTTTTTAAACTTGATCATGGGGAAGAACTGGGGATGTTTGTGAAAGAATCCACATGAGAAAGTCACAAATCCCCAACTTATGAAATTGCTCAGAGCACAGTGAGGCCTTTACTTGGGGTGTTTGGAGTTAGGACAGAAAACACAAACTGTGCTGGACAGATGGCTCAGTTAGTAAAGTGTCTGCCATGCGAGCAGGAGGTTCTAAGTTCGAATCCATAACACCCATGGGAAAAGCGAGGCCCAGTGGCTTTTCCACCAGTGTAATCCCAGCACTAGAGGCAGAGACAACGGGATCGCTGGAGTCGATGGCCACGGCAGAATCAGTGCGCTGCAGTTCCTAAAAAGACCTTGTCTCAAAAGATGAGGTGGAGCTGGGCAGGCACTGGGATTGCCCTAAATCCCAGCACTCCTGAGGCAGAGACAGGTGAATCTCTGACAGTTTATAGAGGCCAGCCTGGACTACAAAGTGAGACCCTGTCGTCTCAAAAAGCAAAACAAACAACACAAGAAAGTAAACTAATTGAGGAAGGTACCTGATGTCCATCTCTGCCTTCACATGCATGTACACTTGTGCGTGTGCATGCGCGCGCACACACATGCACACACACACACACACACACACACACATACACTATGAAGTAACGACAAGGAATAAACTGAGAAGAAATCAGGACATCCCAAGTCTACTTCTGTGGACAGTAAGGAAGTGGCCAGCCTGAGACAAACCTCAGAGTTTGCTGGATGCCAGGTGCTTGGCGACACCAGGACATTCAAACATAAACAAATAGTGGTATGGGAAGAAAGCAGACAGTGGCTGTAAGCAGTGGCTACCCTAGCCCTTGACTTCTGTGTGCAACGAAGAGGTCACGGAGTCCTGTGGGAGGGGCTAGGGAAATCTTACTCTGGGCATCAGCTTTTATCTGTTTGGAAGAGTTTCGATGGAGCTGGCAAGGGACTAGGGCAAGAGGTTCAGGAAAGATGTAACAGCAGGGGTCTAAGCCACAGGGGCAGCCAAGGAAAGTAAAGAACAATTAGAGAAACACCTGTGGGCAGACACTTCCGCTTTCTCAGGAAAGGCTCTGGAAAAGGGGAAGGAAGACCCAATCTAAGCAGAAAAGAAACTGGATTAAAGAAAGAACTTGTGGTTCATTCACGGAAAAACTGGATTTGGGGCAAGTTACACACACGCACATGCGTGTGCCCAGAATGGACAGGCAGTGGGAGACGAGTGGTGTTCCAGAGAGGCAAGGGCTAGAGACGGACTTGGAGATACACTCCCTAACAAAGCTGCTAATCTGGGGGATGCGGTAAGTGTGTGCCGGACACCACAGCAGGCTCTGTCAGGGGTTAGCATGGGTGAGCAGGGAATTTAGGCCACCCCTCTGTCCTAGGTTTAAATGAACAAACGGGGAGGAAGAAGAAAACCATCTTTTGTGAGATGTGGAAATTACACAGACTAGCGTCTGTGGGGCAGGAGCATAGCTGAGTGGTCGCAAAGGCTGGGCATGCTCCCCGGCAGAGGGGGGATGAGATCTGTTCTGTAGGTGGAACACCGCCTTGCCCCTGTGTTCTATGTTGCTAATGGGCGCTTTCCCACTGCCACGTTAGAGCGGTCACTCACCCACTATGTGAGTATGGCACAGAAAGCCTAAAATATTTAACATTTAGGCTACTCACCCTCGTAAGCACCTGTCTATGCCTGTACTGTCGCTCCAATTGGATGAGAAAGTTGGCACCGAGGGACACGGCTCAGTTTTCATCCAATATGGGTGTCGGGAACTGAACTCTAGCCCCATGACTCAGCTTTAAATGTTAGACGTGGGGTTTGAACCCAGGTCCATCTTCCTCCATTGCTCACATTCTATCTAAAATGCCACTTCTGAGCCGGGCGATGGTGGCACACGCCTTTAATCCCAGCACTCGGGAGGCAGAGGCAGGCGGATCTCTGTGAGTTCGAGACCAGCCTGGTCTACAGAGCTAGTTCCAGGACAGGCTCCAAAGCCACAGAGAAACCCTGTCTCGAAAAACCAAAAAAAAAAAAAAAAAAAAAAATGCCACTTCTGAACCATTAAGATGGCTCAAGCAGAGGAAGGTATCTGCCACCAAGCCTGACCTAGGTTTGATTCCAGGACCGACACAGTGGCAAGAACAGAATCCTGGACATTACCCTCTGACCCCCACGAGTAGACATCATCCCAACAAACAGAAATAAATATCAAAAAACAAACACAAAAAGCCCCAAAACAAAACCCAGGGTTCCTTAAAGGTATATGTTTCCATTAGCGTGGGAAAGGGGTGGGGGAAAGAGAGTCTATCAAAAGATAGTATTTTTTTTCTTTGATTTAGACAGGGTCTCGAAATGTAACCTGGCTGGCCTGAAAGTTACTGTGTAGCCCAGGCTGGCTCTCATAAGTGAAAGTCACAGCCTTGTCAGACTGAGGGAAAGTATTTAAATTCACTTCCTTCCTAAACCACACTGCCTCAGGGCTTATTATTATCTTACACTTATTTGTCTGTTTGTTTAGAACACGTATGTGTGTGGGCATGGCCATGCCAAGGCACGTGTGTGGAGGTCAGAGGACAACCTATGGGGGTCAATTCTCTCCCTCTACTGAGTGGGCCCTGGCAATCAAACTCAAGTTGCCAGGCTTGGTGGCAAGCACCTTTACCCACTGGGCCATCTTGCCAGCCTGGTTTTATTATTACAGTTGGGTGGTGGTGGCGCATGCCTTCAGTTCAGTCCTTGGGAGGCAGAGGCAGGCGGATCTCTGTGAGTTCGAGACCTGGTTTTATGATTATTAAAACAGCATCACAGTATCCAGTTAAAAGATTTGTTGACATACACCAAAGTTGTTTCCAACTCTTCACAACTGTCAACGTGAGCTGGCAAGCTTTTGCACAGACGTATAAGTTAAATAGAAGTGTGTCAAGGGTGGCACTTCAGAGGGTTACGTAGAGTATAAAAGTGTTCAAAGAGCAAAGTGATAAGGACAGCTGTAGAGGGCTGAGTCACAGAGATGAGAAAACTTCATGACAGGGTAATGAATGGGAGAGACAAGGTTTTACAGGGACCCATGCCAAACAGTACAGAGACCTACAATCTGAGAAAATGGGAACTGGGTTCCAGGGATGTAAGGAAAAGAAGGCTGCATTGGCTGGGACTAGTGTCATGGGTCTGTAGTTGCAGCTACTGGGAAGACAGGGGCAGAAGGATGTAAGTTCAAGAACTGCCTGGGCTACAGAGCCAGTTCAATGCCGGCCTGATGAGACTCATCTCGAAGTTTTACTAAAAGGGCCAGGGTTGTAGTTTGGTGGTGGAAGCCTTGTTTAACATGCATGAGGCTCAAGGATGGATTTAGGGTAAAGGAAAATGGGGCAATTAGAAAGTGGAGGACATGAGGGACACAAAAAGGTAGGGGAGCAACAAGGCCAAAGAGAAACAGAAAGTGGTTACCTGGAAACAACCCTGGCTAGGGGCTTGGTTGTCATCACTAGACCCTGAGGGATAAACCCAGGCCAGGAGGAACTGTTCTCACTGAGAAGAACTAGCAGCTATAGTAACGGGGAACAGACAGACAAGACATACCCATCCACTCCCCTAGCCCCACTTAGTGATGCATCAGACCCTGGGCTGAATGAGGAGCTGCCCCTTCCACCCCTGCCTATCAGCTCTCTCCGAGACCCAAGACCAAGGGGCAAATGCCCTCGCCTGCCTGCCACTCCCTTCTTCCTCCAGAGAGCAAAGGGCTGGAGTGGCCATAAAACCAGGCCTCGGGATGGATTCAGGAAATGCAGACTCTGCCTCCTGAGCGAAGAGGGGTGTGGGGCGGGGGTGTCAGCGCATGCACAAAGGGTAGATGAGTTACTGAACTGGATGGAATCTGGCCTGGCTTGGCCATAGCCTGAGAAAAAAGATCAAAGCCATCCATCCTCAGAAGGATTCCTTCAACCCACACAGGTATCAGTGACCCAGGTGTCCTGACACATCCTCTCCCTCCCCCCCCTCTCTTTACCAGGTAGACTTGGCAGACAGTGGAGCCACCAACACACTTGCTTCCCCTGCTTCCCAGAGTACTGTAGCACCGAGATGACCTAGAATGGCCTAACCCAGTTCCTTACATGTCTCAGGGAAGCCCCATCCTATCCTATCCTATTACTGGGGGTTTCCGAAAGATCCTAGGATCCAGGGCTCCTGCAAGCCTCTGTCAGAACAGAAAAGGCACCACAACCAATAGGAGCCATCACCACCCACACTAATGCGCTTCCTTGTAGAACAGGCTCCAGCCCTGGCCTAGTGAGACTCCACGGGCCAGCCTAGCCCACAGATAGCATCCCCTGCTTTCCAGAACCCCACCTCAGTTGTCCCCAGAGACCAAGAAGAGCTGCTGGAAGGTTAGAGAGAAGAGCAGACCCTGAGTCTGCAATAGGACTAGCTCAGAAAAAAGGCCAGAGGGGAAGGGTCCTGCTGTACCGGCCCTGTCCAACGCTGCAGGGTGGAAAGACCTGAGGGCTAGGTCCTACTACAAAGGTGGTCCCATGCAAAGCACAACAGGACTTCTGGAGTAGACGCCTGAGCTGAGGCCTAGGCTTACTATTTAGGGATGTTAACTTGAGCAAATGACTTCTTTTTTTTCTTTCCTTCCTTCCTTTCTTTGTTTCTCAAGACAGGGTTTCTCTGTGTAGCCTTGGTTGTCCTAAAACTCACTCTGCAGACCAGACTGGCCTCAGAGTAAGGGATCCACCTGCTTCTGTCTCCAGAGTGCTGGGATTAAAGGCGTGCACCACTACGCCAGCTATGGGCTCAGTTTCGTACTCTAAAAAGCAGATACTAAGAGCACCTCTTCCAGAGACTGGACATAGAGACGAGAATTTGCACAATGAGGAAAATGTGAAGAGTAGCAGAAGTAAGGCCTTGTGACCCCCCTCCTGTCCAGAACCCCCACTTGGCACTAAGAACAGGAGGAGAGAAGGGTGAAGCAGGCTGCTACAGTCCTGTACACAGCAGACTGTTCAGTGCGTCCTAAGACAAAAGAAGAGGATCCTTGTTCCCCACTTAGCCTTCACCCTTGGAAGTAAACAAGGCGAACAGACAGCCAGGCTACCCATCCTAAGCAAGGCCAGCCCTGCTTGGCTCACGTGGACAGGCACACACACCTGCCAGGGCAGCTGACATCCCTCACCTACCAGATACACATACCGGCAGGTTGACTCATCCAGCAATCCTTCTCACCCCTCACGGGGAGCTTCAAGGGGACTGTACCCACAACACTGTCTCTCTCCCTCAGGACAACCTTGCCTGAGTTTGTTCTGTACTGTCTGGGGCCTGGCCGCGTCATTGGTCCACCTGCGACAGGTCAATCTAGTCCCAGGGCAGAGACACTAAACTGTCCCTTGTCCAGCCACTGGAGGAGACTCTCTGGTCAGGCTCAGTTGTCAAGGCCGCAAAGTGCTTAGGGCAATGCCTGCCCAGGGTGCCTTCCTAGTCATTGGGCCTCATCAGCATTCCTTGACTCAGCCTATCAGGGACAGAAGCAGGGAAACCTAGAGAGTCATCTCATTTCTCCCGTCGGCTCAGCCCGGGCCAGGCCTTCAGCCCATCTATAATCAACATCCTGAGTTCAGGAGCCAGAACCTGGGCTCAGAGGCGCGGCCCCTCTCCACTCACCCTCCCCTTTGTTTACTAAATACCGGCTATTCAAAGGCAGTCGATGAAGGACTCTCTTCCTTCACTCCTGTTTATTGCTCTCTTAGCCAAGACTCCATTACCTGCCCATCCCTTCAGGCCGGCAACCTTCCTCACCTCCAAAGCCCCGGGTCCGCAGCTCGCGGTAGGAGTGGTAAAGCTCCTGCGTAAGGTAGTTGATGAAGCCCTCCTTCGGGGCGAACTTGCACACGAAGTTCTGCTCGTACAGGCAGTTCATGAGGAAGCAGGCAGAGATGGCGTCCTCGCCGCCGTCTGGCTGCAGCTCCACCAGCGCCAAATTGCAGGTCTGGGTGGCGCAGCAGGCACGCACGCAGTCCCAGCCGCGGCGCACCGTCGGGGAGCCCAGGAAGGTGGCCCCGTTGCTGACCGAAGCTTCGGTGTCGAGCACGAAAGCCGGCACCCCGCTGGTAAAGCGGGTCAAGCAGGCGGATCCCCCGGGAAGTTCAGGGGGCGCGGACGGCAGCGCACTTTCAGTGCCCTGGAGCCCAAGCGAGCAAAGGAGCCACACGCCGACCGTAGAGATGCTGGCCTGCGCCAGGGTCAGGCGGCGGCCCGCCATCGTGCTCCTAGGGGCCGTCGCCCTCCTCCCCAGGGCGGGGGTCACCTTCACAGTGCGGGCCTCCGGGTTCCGAGGGTGCTTGTGACCTGAAGGGGAGGAGACAGAGGAGACACACCTGATCAGCTCGGGTAGGGGCGCGGAGCACTGGGAGCGAGGAGGCGCACGCTGGCCGATCCGCCCACGCACAATCCGTGAACCCGATCGCCGACGTCCAGATGGGTATTGCTCGGGAGCTCGCGTACCCAGACACAGCACGGACGGCCACCAAACATGCTCCGAGCCTGCTGGGCCTCCGCCTACCGTCCGCCCGGGCTACCTGCGCAGGTGAACGGGGTGGGGCCGCTGAAGATCCCGCCCGGCTTCCGTCCCGCTCAGGGTGTGCGGAAAATCTGCAGCCTCCTCCCCCTCTAGTTTCTGGTGAAACTGAGTCAGAGTGGCCGGGGCGGGACGGACATTAACCCTTGTGCCGCCGGCCCCGCCTACACCGGTTGCACTCCCCCACCGCCCTGCCCAGCAGAACTTCCGGCTGGACCCGCCTGGCGACTCCACCACCCCAGACCCAGCCGCTGCACCAGTGGTGTCCGGACGCCCGATGGCGTGGGTGAGGCCCACATGCCCTGGAGGCGGCTCTACACTGGCTCCACAGAGTCCAGCCACTCGTAGGGTCCCAGAGGATCAGAGGTGCATCCCGAAAGCCCAAACTGGGCCGCGACGCCACAGCGAGGTGGCGAGGGTGCGGCAGCCTCTGGCCTCCCTTTCCGGTTAGAGCTTGCATTCCCTGCCCTTGGCTGGAGGCGTTTGGGAAGGGGTTGGAAGAGAGAAGTTGGGGAAACCGATGCAAACGATTTCGCTGCCTGTGGCCTGCCCTCAGGACATCATTTCCAGTTACCCACTAGAAAGAGAACCCCGAAGCTGGGTAGGTTGCGTTCGTGAAAATCAGCCTCAGGGATGCGTGCTGCGGAGGTGCAGCTCCAGACAGCCCTCCCTTCTGGCTTATTTGAGGAACAGGTGGTTCCTGGTATCCTGGCTTCCCCGTTTTCACCCACAGGAGTTCGTTCCCTTTTGTTTGAGCCTCTCCTTCGTTTTGTGTTGGCATTTCCTTTTGAACTCTTCACCTTTTGTTGGTACGCGGCCCCATTCCCTGAATTTCAGGTTTATTCTCCTATCCCGAGAAGGGGAACTCCCAGTGAGTAGTTGACCACTCTCTTCCCCATAAATTCGCTGCTTGGACTCCAGCTCACTGAAGGGCTGAGATAATGCCTCTCACACAGCAGTGGACACCTCGGACGTCCTGTCGCAGAATTCGTTGGTCCTATCTATTTTCTTTCAGATTCATTTAATTCTGAGACAGGGTCTTGATGGGCGTCCCTGTTTCTGACTTCAAAGTTACGTTCCTCTGCCTCACTTCCTAGTGTTGGGATTACAAAGAGGAATCACTGCATCTGGCAGGAGTTGTCCTGTTTATGCTCTCTCTCCCCACAGAAAAGGTCCGAAGAGGTAGCTTAGCAGTTAAGAGCACTTGCTACTCTTGGAGAGAACTGGAGTTCAATTCCCAGCATCCACATCCCACAGAACCTGCAACTCCAGCTCCAGGGGATCTGAAGTTCCCTTCTGGCCTCCTCAAGCACCTGCACACTTGTGATATTTACACACAGAGACACACACATACCCATAAAAAATTGTATGAGTGTATGTATGTGTGCGCATCACGTGTGTGCCTGGTGCCTGTTGAGACCAGAAGATAGTGGATCCTCCTGGAACTGGAGTAACCGACAGATGTGAGCTTCCATGTGGGTGCTGGGAACTGAACCAAGGTGTTTTTTGTTTTTTGGTTTTTTTTTTTTTTGAGACTTTTTTGTGTAACCCTGGCTGCCCTGGAACTCACTCTGTAGACCAGAGTGGCCTCGAACTCACAGAGATCTGTCTGCCTCTGCCTTCCAAGTGCTGGTTAAAGGTGTGTGCCACCACCACTGAGATTCTCCTTTTCACAGTGGCTGAACCTCCCCCTACCATGGAAATTCCCATTTGCTCACCCAAGGTAGTTTCACATAGACCTTGGAGCTGAGAATCATTTTTCCTTTATCAACTGCAAATCCTCCGGCTGCTCATGTTACAGATACTGGGAGCAAAAACTAGTGGATGCCAAACCCTCTCTGGATATATTGGGGTTCCACAGCCCCTGGCATAGTGATGCCCCTAATGGTATGCTGGGGCAGAAACACCATGGTACAGTTGCTGGGAAGGAAGAGTTTTGTCAGTTTGATTCCTACGTTCTGTAAAGCTTATACAGAAGAGAATATCTTACCACAGGAGAACACATTATGATAATATACATTGCCAGAAGTTTATGATTACATTCATTATGTACATGATATCAGAAATACCTATATTTAAAGCTGGGTGTGGTGGTACATGCTTATAATCCTAGCGCCTGGTTGGAGGAGGTGGAAAAGGAGTTCAAGACCAATCTTGATGAAGAATCAAGTTTGAGGCCAACCTGGGCTCTATGAGACCCTGCTTCAGAAAAAATGAAACGAGGCAAAATGAAGCCAGACCCTTGTGTTCGGGTTGGGAGATGTAACTCTCGGTGGTAAATCACGTGCTTTACATACACAAAATCTAGAGTTTTGTTCTTCAGCATTGCAAAAACAGCAAACACATTTATCAGGTACTGAACATGTCCAAGCCTTGTTCCTGAGCACTTCCCACGAATTACCCAATGCAATCCGACCAAACCACAGAAGTAAGTTCTGTTTTATTTCCATTGTACGGTTGAACAAACAGACTCAGGCAGGTGAGCCAGTGGTTGGACCACAGCAGCTAAGTGGCAGAGCAGGGCCTGGTTCAAGGCAGGCTCACTGCACTGCTTTTGCACCCCTGCCCTGGGCTTTACTGTGCTTGCCATTCCGACTTCCTCTGGAAGTTCTGCTCTTAACTTCAGACTCACCTTGCCGGAAATAAAAAATCATTTTCAAGTGATGAACAGCCAGTTTCCTTTGGGGTGCCTACTGCCGTGGTTTCAATATGGTTTGGTCCCCTGGAAGCTCGTGATGAAATTTGCTGTGGCGGTGGTGTCCAGAGGTGCGGCCTTTCCGTGGTAATTAGATCATTAAGGAACTGGGTTAATGCTGGAAGGACTGGAAGAGTTACCATGAGAACAGGTTGTGGACTGGGGCTGCTCATTGTCTTTGTCCTCTTCCCTACACACCCGTCCGTCCTCTGCTTTACCATCCTTGCTGTGACCGTGCATCAGGCCCCTGCCAGATGTGTCAGATCTTGGAGTCTCTGGAAGCATGTGGTAAAGAAACTGATATTTGGTTGTGGCTTGAATTCGATGGTAGGAACCATCCGCCATTACTTCCACTGGACTCACTGAGGCAAGGTTTCTTATCTTGCTCGCCAGCCCACTCTGGGGATCCCCTTGTCTTTATGAGTCGGGAAGTCTAGGCAAGCTGCCATGCCCATCAGGCGCTTATGTGGATTTCTGGGAATCCAAACCCTGTGTTTTAAAGCAAGTGTTTTTTTTTTTTTGTTTGTTTGTTTGTTTGGTTGGTTGGTTGGTTGGTTGGTTTTGGTTTTGGTTTTTTGAGACAGGGTTTCTCTGTAGCTTTGGGGCCTGTGCTGGAACTAGCTCTTGTAGACCAGGCTGGTCTAGAACTCACAGAGATCCGCCTGCCTCTGCTCCCCAGTGCTGGGATTAAAGGTGTGCAACTGTCTATAGCCCCTGTTGCCCTCCTCTGCACGGCTCCAGGGATTCATCCAACCAGAAAGGATGTCAGTAATAGCTGAAACAGAAGACTCGCCTAGTTACAAAGTAAAACTGACCTTTTTTGTTGTTTTGAAACAGGGTCTTATGTAGCTGAGGATAGCCTTGACCTAACCCGTCTGCTTGCCCTCTCAAGGTCTGGGTTTACAATCTTGATACACTGTATCCAGCTCACTTTCAAAAAATACTTTCTTAGTTGAGCCTGCCATGGCAGCAGTTACCTTTATTTAATTCCTCCCCTGGGGAGGAAGAGGCAGGCAGATCTGTGAGTTCGAGGCCCGCATGGTTTACATAGTGAGTTCCCAGACACCCAGGGCTATGAAGAGAGACCATGTTTCAAAAACAAATGAACAACAACAAAAACCTTCTCTCTGTCTCTCTCTCTGTCTCTCTCTCTCTCTTTGGTTTTTCCAGACAGGATTTCCCTGCAGCTTGGGAGCCTATCCTGGAACTAGCTCTTGTAGACCAGGCTGGGCTCAAACTCACAGAGATCCACCTGCTTCTGCCTTGTGAGTGCTGGGGTTAAAAGGGTGTATGGTTTGCCTGTATGTGCATGCAGTGGCTACAATGGCCAGCAGAGGGCATCAGGTCCACCTGAACTGGATTTACGGGCAGTTAGGAGTTATGTGGGTTCTGAGAACTGAATACAGATCATCTGCAAAAGCATCAAGTGCTCTTTTTTTTTTCTTAAAAAAAGATTTATTTATTTATTTATTTATTGTGCATACCATGTTCGGTCTACATTTTGCCTGCACACCAGAAGAGGGCATTGGATCTCATCATAGATGGCTGTGAGCCACCATGTGGGTGCTGGGAATTGAACTCAGGACCTCTGGAAGAACAGTCAGTACTCTTAACCTCTGAGCCATCTGTTTAGCCCACAGCAAATGCTCTTAACTGTTGAGACATCTCTCCATTCCCTTATCCAGCTCCCTTTTAAAAATCTTTTAAAAGTAGAGTCTTGCTTAAGGTTTTCTTAATGAGCTGGGTTATTATGTCTATCAGTGATCTCAGCTTTCTGCTCCATAGTGAGTTTGAAACCTGTCTTTCAAACTTTTTTCTTTCAATGATTCAACTAAATTAATTCTCTTGGTTAGTGTAGAAACAAGGTGTGTGTGTGTGTGTGTGTGTGTGTGTGTGTGTGTTCGTGAGTGTGGATGAACAACGGGGGCAAGTGCACTTTCACACATGTAGGGGCCAGAAGACAACCTCAGTTGTTTCTCAGACATGTCCACTTTTTTTTGAGACATGTATCTCACTGGCCTGGACTGCACTAAGTAGGCAAGACTAGCTTGTAGGCGGGGTTTTCTTTGGGGGAGCACCAGCTCACAAATAACAACGTGGAGACATTACTAATTATGAAAGCTTGGCCGTAACTTAGGAGGTCTCTCTAGCTGTATCACTTAAACTAACCCATTTATTTTAAACTACATTCTGTCACACGGCTCATTACCTCATCTCTCCGTACTTACTGCTCATGCTGTTTCATCCACATTCGGCTGGCGATTCTGCCTTCTTCTTTCCAGAGTTCTCTCTTTCTCTACCCAGAAATCCTGCCTATCCCTGCCAATGCCTAGCTGTTGGCCATTCAGCTTTTATTACACCAATCACTACAATACATTTTCACAGTGTACAAATATCCCACACACTAGCTAAGCCATAGAGCCCAGAAATC